TGGGAGGGAGCAGATGACGGCCCGAGTTGAGCCCCTGCCACCCGTGTGGGAGACCCGGCTGGAATTGTCCAGGCTCCTGGTTTAGGCCTGGCCCAGCTCTGGCCTAAATGCTCTGTTGAGAGCATTTAGGGAGTGAACCAGGGGATGGAAGATCTCTTTCTCTGTTGCTCTGCCTTTCAAGTCGATGAAGGTAAAAAAGATTTTTAAAAAGAGAGAGCCAAGTCATTTCTGTGACAGAGAGAGAACCCCAACAGAAACAAACTGGTTTGGGGGCCTTCAATCCAGTGACACCCCCCCCCCCCACACACACACATCCCATCAAAAGCCCAGCCTGCCCATGGATTTGAGATCTCATTTCCCTTTATAAAGGTCCTTACCCTAACCTGGCACCCAGAGGCAAAGGCCAGGGGAGGAAGAAGCGAATTCTTTCCAAGGCTGTGCGGGAGGGGCATTCTGGGCTGGAATCCCTTTGATGGAGGGAGTGTGGGTTTGGAGGCTGGGATAAAAGTTGGATCTCTCCTCTCCATCCCCACAAAGACGCACAGGGTCCCCCGTCCTGCTCGCTTCTTTAAAAAAATAGAATTTAAAATCTCCTTATTTGGTGGTGGTAGTGGTAGGGTACCGTACTGGTCAAAGAACCATGGAGAGTTGGTGCAGTTTTTCACGAGTGGAGAAAAAGAAAAAAAAAAAAGTGGACGAGGGGAAAGGAAGGAGGAGGTTGAGACCCCCAAGGGCGAGACCCCCGAGGCTGAGCCGAGTTCACCGCGCTGTGAACCCGCCCCGCCGGCCACGCAGCCCTGCGGCCTCCGCCCTGCGCCCTATTGTCCGCAGCCAGAGCCCCGGGGTCGTGACCCAGCTGAAGGCGACACCGCGCCCAGAGCGGACCGGCTTGGAACCGGAGGCGGCCCCGGAGGAGGAGCTGGGCCGCCGGCGGCCTCCTGAGCCTCGCCTCTGCTGGACCCCGGGCGCCCAGCCGCCGCGGGAAGACAGCGGCGTGTAGCCCCCTTCTTTGGCGCCCGGCGGCCCCGGAAGCCCGCAGCCCGGAGCGGGGAAGCCTGGGTTTGGCTATTTGGCAGGGCCTGGGATGCACTCCCTTGCAGGGTTTCTCCGCCCGGAAACTCACGTTTGCTTTCCTCCCCCAGCCTCTGATGCGGCGAAGAGGGGGGATCAGAAAGGAGGGAGCCCTGGCTTGACTCGCGCCCCGGCAGGCAGCCGCAGCAGCCCCCTTACCCGGCAGACTCCGCGTATTAGGGACTCTGGAAGTGGTTGAAGGGGCCCTGGACTTAATAACTCCTTCCCCTTTATCGGACTGCAGTCCTGGTCACAGGCTAACCTCCTGGCAGGCCATCGCTGCCATTCTAGTCCTCAGGACCTGTCTGGTAGGGGAAGCGGGGTGGGGGTGGGGGAGATGGAGCCGCAAAGGCCCCGCTCCCTGTTAGCACGGACGAGGGCTCAGCGGGGCCGCAGGAGAACGCAGAGAAGGAAGCCCCTACCCTGCCGAGTGGCGGGAAAGCCGGCCCGAGCCGGTGCTCTGGCCTTCAAGCGCAGATGCGCGAACCTCGCCTTGGCGCAGCCTCTCTGCTCCTCGGGTGAAAAAGGGATCAGAGCTCCTTGACCCGCGCGGGATCTAAGGGCTGTACGGGGGATCCTTTTAGGTCTCTGGTCAAATAGGGCACCCATCATTTTCCGTTCTCAAGGGGCAGCTGGAATTGAGATCCCTGGAGCAAGCCGGGGCCGCTGCAGGGGAGAAATTAAGCCGGGGCTGGAGACGACGGTGCAGAAAAAGCAGGCAACGGGGTGGTGAGTTCTGCCAGGGATTGGTCAGAGGCAGCAAGAGTTTTCGCTTCCCACCAAATCCCCCAAATGTTTCTTTTGGGCCCCTGCCCATCCAGATAAATCACAGGAACAGATGAGGAAGTTCATAAAATTGTATTCTTAGGTAATGACACCCAGAGAGGTAATAAATATTCCCTCCGCTCTGGTGGCCGCTGGAGACGGAGAATCCTCAGACTCCCGTTCCGAGCTTGGGAGGGGTGCCCTGAACAGAGGCGTTTCCCTTGCGCACTGGCTCTCCAAGGTGGGAGCCGCATAGAAGCGCCTTTGTGAGTGCATGACTGTGCTACCCAGGGTGGCCCAGAAAGCAGAGCAAAGGATGGTGGCACCACCCTGCAGAGGCACCCTGCGCCTGCCTGGGGGGGGGGGCTCCCCTGGGGTCAGTCCCCCGAGTCCTAGACAAGCTGAGCAACCCCAAGCCCAGGCAAAACCTCTGTTCCATACACACACACACACACACACACACACATACACACACAGACAGCCAGCAGGAGGAAGATGTCTCTATACTTTCATCTGCCCAGTCCACTTAGGAAGAAAGATGAAACACAGGTTGTAGGGAAAAGTTTATGGGAAAACTTCGCCAACAGCTGCAAGAGACCTCCAGAGAATCCCAGTGGCCCCCTAGTTCTTTTCCGCAGCTCACTCGCTCGCTCGCTCGCTCGCTCTCCTCTTTGAGCCAAGTTTCTTCACTCCCCCAGGTACTCTGATCTGGCACAGAAACTCCATCTTCCCCAAGCAGAACCCCTCCGTCCATCCCTCTGTCCATCCGCAACTCAAGTTTCCCGCCTTCCCTCCCCAAGACTGGGACAACCGGAGAAAGAGTTCAAAGTTTTGTGCTCGTCAGATGGAGTGCTGACTACTTACAGGGCAGGGGCCTGGGGGCCTGGGGGGCTCTCTTGCAAGGCTGGTGCTGCCGGCGGCGCTGCGTGTCACCGTGTCACCCCGTCTTCTTCTGACTTAGCCACTGCCGAGACAGGGCCTCCTAGGCGCCAGCAGGCATGCAAGTGCCTGCCTCTCCCCTTCCTCTGGGCTAGAACTCCCCAGCCCCACAAAAGCGGTGGCATCCTAATCTGGAGGCCAGGGGCTGAGCTAGGGCTGGCTTGGGAGGGTCGGAGATGGGGGTGGGGGAGAGGTCAGAGGCGCTGCCGAATATAAAGACCCTGGGAGAGAAAATGCCTTGTCCTCCCCATGAACCTGGCTGGGGCCTCCCCCCACCCCCAGCCTTTCCCCTGCTTCTCAACCCAACTTCAATAAAAGCCCGGCCCTGGGCTTCCCAGCCAGGCTGCAGCAGCAGTGGGTAGAGCAGCAGGGACCAAGGCGGGGGAGCTGGGGGGAGCCTCCCTTGCCCCCACACCCCAGCCCTGCCCCCCACCCCGGCTGCCCGAGCCCATTCTGGGTGGCCAGGTCCAAGGGGAGAAAATGGAGCCCAGGGGAAGTGAAGGCCAGGGGCCAAAATCTCTGAGAACTCAAATGTAAGGGATTGCGATTTTGCTTCATGTGTCAAAAATTACAGATTTCAGCCCAGGATGGACAGAGACCCCCGGAGAATGACTCTGTGGATGTGAGACACAGGAGGGGAATGAGATGCCAGTAGAGAAGAGGAATAAACTAAATATCCCCATCTCTTAAAGCTGCTGCTTTCCCTGTGCAAGTTCAGGGAGAAACTGAAGCAATAAAATAGAGCGACTGCCTCCTCCTCGCTCTCAGTCCTTCGAATGAGCAAACTTGGGGAGGAAGGAAGCATGGACTTCAGCCCCTCACCCCCACCCTGTTCCATCCTTGGCCTCTTTTCTTGAGGGTGCACCCTTCAGACCGTCTTTCCCTTTTCCCAAGTGCAGCCGCTGCCCCTCTACTTCCCCACCCAAACACCACTGGCTGGGGATGACAGGGGCCCTCCTCTGATTTGGCCCTCCATTCACTTGATCACAGAAAATCGCTCCAGATAATTGTTGGTCCTGTGTGGGCTGTCTCCAGGGGACCACTGAGGGACCACAAAGTACCCCTAAAGAACCAAGGGGGTCCCCCAGCACTCAGGCACGTGCATACGCACACACCAGCCAGCCAGTGGGTCAAGAGGAAATAAATCCACAGCACAGCAAACAGATCTGCACAACTTGGTCCCAGAACCAAGGGAAGCAGCCGCCCTGGCTCTGCCCCCTCCAGCCTGAAATTTGGATAAACCGCCTGAAAAGCAGCTCCCCAACCGCCCTCCCCCACCTGCTCCCAACAAACAAGTAAAAAACTGAGCAGGCCTTGTCTGGGGCCTGGTGTTCAGGAACAGAATTATTTGGGAGTCTTTGGCTTGAATTAATTATTCATGTCATTCAGGCCAGTTTTTTTTTTTTTCTTTTTCTCCTTAGTCCCAAGGAAGCAATTTTATTTAATTAATTTATTTTACAGTGAGAGAGGGAGAGAGAGACTTGTGTAGGCCACCCCATGTCCTGCCAGGATCTGGGAGGCTGTGGAGACAAGGGGAGGCCCCTGCCCCTCTCTGAGGGTCTTCTGGACACCTGGCAGATCGCTGATAAAAGTCTTTCCTTATCTCCAGGCAGTCAGCCTGTGAGGCCTGCCCGTGCTGGGGGGCCTGGCAGGCCGCAGGCCGCTGGCCTCCACTTCACCCTTTCCCCCAAGTCTAAACAAACAGAAAAGGCATCCTGACAGGGCACTTGGCTGCTTCAGAATCACCAGCTCCAAACCTTTCTTCTTCTAAGAGATGGGGAATGTCGGGGAGGGGGCCGGCTCCCCCAGCCCTCACCCCCAGGAGCCCTGGAGGCTCCAAACTCCTCTGCACATCAGGCAGGGCCCACTCAGCAGAGCCCAGGGAGGACAGTGAAGACAAAAAGAAAGGACAGAGGCTAATATAGAAAAGTGAGGACCCCCAGTTCCACCGACAGTACCCCAGAGGGGGTCTGGCCTCCCCGCAGACGGGGGAGGGGGGAAGCCTTAATCCTCCCCATCCTCTCTCCTCCCAAGACCTCCCTTACCCCCAAAAACCCCTTGCTGCTGCTTCTAAGGACACCCGGGAGACTACAGTTGGGAGTTCAGATTTGTGTGTTTGCTCAGAGTAAACTCAGGCAACTCTGGAGGAGGTGGGGCAGCACCAGGCCAGAAGGAGGAAGAGGAGGAGGAGGAGGGGCACAAAAAGAAACCATCAGACATTGCCGTAAAACTAATTCACATCCACTGGTTTATTATCGATCACGGGGCATTTCACATCGACACTAAAATTCTTTATTGCAAGTTTTACAATAATCAAGTAAATTCAGTCCAAAAAACACAACGACCACGACGGGAGTGGGGGGCGATCCTACCTACAGACCCTCTCTCTGAACTGAAAGTTCATCTTGGTTTTCCTTTTGGCCTCTGGAACTGAGCAGCTCAGAGAGGCTCCTCAGATGCATTTCAGCTTTGTCTGTCGTCTCTCCCCCCTCCTCCCACCCCCCCACAATAATACAAAAGAACTTCATAGCTTTGTTCTCCTTAAAATGACTTCCCCCTCACTAACCTCCCTGGTGCATTTTCAATGCAAAAGGCCTAAGGAAAGTGGGGGGAAGGAGGAGAAGGGTGAGAATTGGCTTAAAAATCTCTCTCTCTTTTTCCTTTTTTCTTTTCCTCATTTCCCCTGAAATTCACCCAAACCAGACCGTCGCACTTGCAATATATAATTTTTGCAGCTTTTTTTTCTCCTTAAAAAATAAATACCCCCCCAATCAATGGCCTTAAAAAAAAAAAACCCAGCAGGTACCATGCTAAAGACAACATTACATGCTTGACAGTGGAAGGGAACAGGGCAGAGAGAGTGTTTATCTGTTTTTGTCTGTTTGGAATTGACAAGGGACAAGGTGGGAGGAAGCGAGAAAAGAACCAAAATATATATATATATTAAATTCTATAAATAAGAGTCAGTTTGTGTGTGAGGGGAGGTGGGGGCCCGGGGTGGGGGCAGGGGTGTGAGCGCCGTTTTATAACCTGGTAATGTCCTCTGCCCGCGGCTGCTCCGGCGGCGTGGCGCTCTGGGAGTGGTCCTCAGAAGGGCCCGGGGTGGCTGCCGACAGGGCGCTGGGCGCGGCGCCGGCCGGGGGCGCTGACCTGACTTTGGTGTTGGGGAGGCGGTGGTCCTTCTTCCATTTCATGCGGCGGTTTTGGAACCAGATCTTGATCTGCCGCTCGGAGAGGCACAGCGAGTGGGCGATCTCGATCCTTCTCCTCCGGGTCAGGTAGCGGTTGTAATGAAACTCTTTCTCTAATTCCAGGACTTGCTGCCGCGTGTAGGCTGTCCTCGAGCGCTTGGGTTCCCCTCCGTTATAATTGGGGTTCACTGGGGGGGAGGGGAGGGGAAAAGCAGAGAGTGGGGTTCAGAGGCGGCAGGCTCCCCAGCCCCCACCCTCACCCCATCCTCAGCTCTGAGGAACAGGAGGCGGGAGCGGTGGAAATGAAGTCATCAAGCTAAATGGGTTATAAAGAAGTTGAAGGAAGCTGGCGACTTTGTAGTGTAATAAGAGGGGAATCCTCATTGTAACGACACTGAATTATTTATGCGCCCTTAGAAAGCGAGCATAGTTTTCACACATACATAACAGATCGTAGCACATGGCTCGGACTGCCCAGAGTAGCTAAGCCATAAAATTTATGGGGGATGTAATTACCCATTCTCGCTCGTAAATCCAGTTCAATTGTGCTAACCCAGAGTCGCTCCTGGAGAGAGAGGGGGAAGGAGAGAAAAGAGGACGGGGCCGGAGGGGGCCGGGGAGGGTGGGGAGCGCCGGGGAAGGGGGGGGAGCAAAGCGCAAAGTTGCCTACCCGTGCTCACGTGGATTTTCTTCATCCATGGGTAGACTATGGGCTGTTTGCTGGCGGCGCTGGAGGGGTGGTCGGGGGCTGGCTGGCTGCAGGCTGGCGGGGCTGGGGACGGGGAGGCGGAGGCGCCCGAGAGAGGCGCCGGCTCACAGAGCGGCTGCGATTTCTCGGGGTGGTGGTGGCCCGCCTGGGCCGGCCCGTGGCCTCGCGAATTGCCCGGCCCCTGGAGACTGGTGCAGCTATACTGGCGCTCGGGGTAGCTGGGGCGCGGAGGCGGTGGTGGGTACAGCTCCTGGTGGTGATGCTGGAATCCCGATTCCCTGGTCCGGCCGTAATATTCCGGACTGTGTTCAGGGATGTAGCTATTTTGCGAATATTCTTCGCATGGAGGAAATTTCGGATCGATGTAGTTAGAGTCCATCAAATACGAGCTCATGATCATTAATTTCTGGAGTGGAAAATAATTTTTCTCGCTTTGTCGTTTTTCTGCTCCATAAAGCCCTCCTACTAGCTAGCGACCCTGTAAAGTTACTTTCACCATGTGACTCCGCCGGCCAATCACACGGAGCAACCCAGTCCCCGGATAAGGAACCGAATCGCTTTATTCAAAATGTATCCAATTTTTTGTGTGTGTGGTGGTGGTGCTGCTTGGGGGGGGGGGCAGTGATGTGGGGTTAGCTGGCAGAGGCTGGGATGCCCCCCGCCCAGCACACACACCCCTCCAGACTGGCAGTCTCTTCCTGCTCGCGGCTCCAGCTCCACAGCCTGGGTACTGAGGGGGGTGGGGGCGGTTCTCAGCCCCTGCTCGGGGTCTCCCCTCCGGCCTCCAGTGGGTCCCGGCTCCCAGGCTTTCCCAGAGGTCTCTGTTATTTGCCATGGCGTCTCAGTCTGTGTAGGTCACCGGGCAGTGCCCCTCTTTTGCAGGAAGAGGAAGTTGAATGAAGACTGGAGTGGAGGTTGGATGGGGAGGGGCCCAGGCTGAGCCAAGGTGGCTGGAGAGAGCCTGGGGTGCCCCCCCCATCCAAGGATACCAGAGTCCAGCACCCCTCCCCCCACACACTCACCCAACCCTCTGGCCATGGGGCCCGCGAGGCAGGGTCCAAGCTGGACCAGGCAGGTAGAGGCAGCTGGATGCAAATGATTCTGACGTCATTTCTGGAGGTCTGGGGGTTGAGCCCCCCGCTGAAGAGAAACAGGAAGTGGTTGGCAAAAGCAGAGATCAGCAGCCGCACCCTCCCAGCCTGCCCAGTGACCCTTCCCTGCCCCAGCCCCGGAGCAGGGGCTCCGACATCCCGGCTCCTTTCTGATTCCTGCCTCCCCGGGGCTGACTCCTAGGGAGCCTGGGTAGAAGGAGAGCTTTCCGCCAGCAGTAGCTGCCCAGGATGGTGACCAAGCCAAGGCCCCAGCGTTCTTCTCTCCGCAGCCCCCTGGAGGGTAGAGATTGCTTGCTTCCGGCCAGGGACTGTATCCACGTAACACGTGTGTGTACATGTAAACACGCATTCCCGAGGCCAGCTCCCGGCTGTCTTCCAAAAGCCGAGGGCTGAGCTCACCATGCTGGGGAGGTGGGGAGGGCCTTGGGGGTGTCCAGCTCCTTCCCACCCCCTCCCTTCTTTCTGCCACCCACATGGACAGCAGCACCCTGATGGGGGGGCAGCAAGGCCACAGAGGTGGGGCAAGCAAGGGCTACTTTCCCACCCACCCCCTCAGCCTGGGGTGGCCACGTCCTGCCCCCATTCCAATTAACTGATCTTTCATAACTGCGAGTTGGGGGGTAGCAGAAGGGAGAGCCCAGGGAGGGAGCCGGGTCCCCTTGTTGTACTTGATAACAATTATAGTTTAAAATCATAGCTTGCAGAGGCTTGGCTATATTTTACTTGATAACAATAAAAGTGACACATAAAGTTAACTGTTTATGTTTTATTTATTAGACTAAAGCTGCCAGCGGTGGTAGGAGCGCTTGCCTCGTCGCTACAGCTTTTATAGGGTTGTAAAACGTCATAAATCAGTCTCGCGGAATCGCCCGTACTCTTTGTGTCGGCGGCGGCGCAGGGCTGGCGGCCGCTGGCTGCCTGCTCCCTCCTTTCCACGAAAAGTCGTAATGTGATTTTTTTCCCTCTGATTTTATTATTATGATCGCCGCCGTGATTAGTCAATCTACCTTTAATTCGCCGCCCTACGCTGCCTCCTCCCAGCCCAGCCTGGTTGACACTTGAATAAGTACCTTTTAAAACGGCATAACAAGTATTTGAGGGTTTAATTAGAACATCTGCAATTAAGGGAATGAGGAGGGGAAAGGGAAAAAAATAAAGCCCTTGTGAGAAGAAGAACGGGAGGCAGGAGATTCCCAGCCCTTCTCTCACCGTCTTTGGGATGTGGGCGAGGGTCTCCACTTCCAAATGAGGGCTCACCCCGAGGGCTAGGGTGGGCCACAGGCGATGCCCAGAGGGGCCAGATTTCCCGCCTGAGTTCCCCCCACCCCATTGCCTCCGCTCCTCCAATGTTTTGGACCCCACCCCAAGCCCACCAGGGCCAGTGCTTAGCGCTGCAGAAGCTACAGTTTTGGGGTTCCCGGACACCGTCTCCCCAGAGAGGCAGTGCCCCACCCCCCCTGCCCCCATCACCAGCTGGTTGAGGAAACTGGCATTCCCTGGAGGTTGAGGATCTCCTTGAGAGATTCCCACAAATTCCCAGAGTTGCCCACCCCTGTCCTGTGAGGGCTGGCTGCTTTGGCTGGAAAAGGCACTTGAGACTGTAGTGGGGGTGGGAATGGGGGTGGGGCACGCTACTTAGATGTGGTGGTTTGCAGTTGTGTGACAGCTTGCTCTTCTGTAATTATCAGTGGAGGGGTAGGGAGAGTTAATTATAAGTTGCTAGAAAAGGGTGTAGCAAACCTGTGCTGTACCCTGAACTACACAGATCTTAACTGTAGCCCACGCGGCCCCATGGGGAGGGCCCTAGCTCCCAGACCTCTCCGGTTGCTTAGGGGGAGGGTTGATGAAGTTGGAGAAAACCTCCTGGCCCCACCCCCAATCTCCCTTCTAGGCCTGCACCTGGCTGCAGCTGTCCTGCCCCACCCAAGCTGGGCGGATTCCCTTCCCCACCTGGAAGGGAGGTCTGCCAGCCTGGCTCCCCTCCAAAAGCCCTTACTCCCACCTCTAGGGACCCTCCCTCACCCCAGCCCTCCTGTCTTCCTAAGGCAGTGCCCAGCCCCAAGGCACAGCCCCAGTGCCAGGTCTCTGAGTTCCTGCAGATGTGTCCAGGAGCCCTTCTGCAGGCCCGGAGGAGCGAATGGACCTGCAGGGGTCAGATGGCCCCACCTGAATGTCAAGTCTGTCTTTGGTCATTAGGGTTCAGAAAGATATATCGTACATACCATTGATATTTATTAAAATAATAAATGCCTCCTTACACAGCCATAAATACATGGAGATCTTCTTCCAGGTCTGCATAGCTAATTCAACATGCACATCCAGAATAAGAAATCTAGGAGATTCTCCCAAATGTGCCCACCATTCATCTACATTATTTACAAAAACCAAGACAAAACAAACACAAAAGCCCCCTCTCTTTGGCTCCTATAGCCTAATAGCAAGGAAGATGCCTGGCACATGGGTAGAAATGCCTCGCCACACACACACACACACACACACACACACACACACACACACATACACATACACACACATTTTACCTGAGTTTTATTACAAGCACAGAAATAAAATCCTTTCCGAGGGCTCCTGCACTTAGCAATGGTTTAACTGGGCTGGGTATAGGCGGCTCTCGCCTCTGATGAATCTTGTGTCTGGTCCTGTGCTTTGCCCTCCTGCCTCTTGTCCTGCCAGCTCCAGGACCTCCACCTCCGCTCTGCCCCGATTTTATGATTATTTTTATTTTTCCCGATCACCTTTTGCCAGCATCCAAACACTGTCCACATGCCTTGCGCCCCCACCCCATCTCCCTTCTAAATCTCGATGTGGTTTCTCTTTCGGAAACATGTTCCAGTACAAAGCGCTTCCCTTCTGACACCGCTGAAGAAAAATATGTGTCCATTGTGTGTGAGGCCTTATTGTGCCCGGATTACCATACTGACCGTTAGATAACCCATATTCCTCCCCTCCCCAGTCACAAGCTGCCGCCTGAGAGCCCTCAGCGGCTCCACGGATTCCGTGCTGCATTGAAACCCCACCTCTCACACTCCCTGCATTTTCCAAGGGAGAAAAATACACGAGAGAATCAATTCAGGATTTGGGAGGCAAAAGGGAAAGAAACCCAGTGTCATTCCTCTCCTTACTCTTCCAAGTGCAGGGGATTGGGGGGGTTGCTTTTTGCTTTTGGATGTGTTTTGTTATTGGTTTAGAGATTAAAAATTGCAACATGCCTCTTTCCTTTTCCTCAAATAAATTGACTTTTAGATGGTATGCAATTAGGCAATTCATTTCATTTTTGATTTTTTTTTTCTCCAGGCAACTCTTGAAAGCCTCAGACTAAAGCAAGACTTTTAAAACCATTTTTTTTCTTTTGTGTGTGGATGTGTTGTATGTGGATATATGTGTGTTTTTGTCCGCTTCTGATGCCAGCAGGCAGGGCTAATGTATGCAAAAGAATATGCAAATGCTTAATTGATTTTTTCTTAAATCTCTTGTCAGTAAAAGTAATGAATTGGTCTAAAATGATTTTAATAACCCGGACGTGTCACCAGAAAATACTCAACCCCCTTTTTCCCCCCCTTCTGGAATTGCTTATAGTAAAAAAAGAGAGAGAGAGAGAGGAAGAAGAAGAAAAGCAATCATGGAATGTTAATTTGCCCCCCTTTAAAATATTAAAGATGAATTTCTCTTGTTTGTTCGGAGACCATAGGCAAGGTCCTCTCGTGGATTTCCCCGCCTTGCCTGGCCTTCCTTGGAATTCAATTTTCCTCAAATCTCGTTTAAAGTGGCTTTTTAAAAAGTGGCCGCATTTTAATATTGGTTAGACAGAGTGACCTGCATTTCACCTCGGGTGTTTGACTTGTTCCAATAGGTCACTGCCATGGAGTTATTGATGGGGAAACTCCATTGAAATTTGTCTCTTCGCAAATGGCCTTTAGATCTTCCAGCGAGTTCAATAACTAGTTATAATGTGGAAGGGGAAAAATGAAGGCCCTGGGCTAACGAATTTGATGTTTCATTTTTATGCTGGAGAAATTGTTAGTTAGAGGTTGGGCTCCCCACCCCCTTACTTGCTCATCCCAGCTGGACTGACCCCCCCACTGTCATCCGAGACTGCTTGGATTATATTCCCCTTGAAAACTTAGCCTGGGGCAGAGGGGGTCCCTTTCTCTCTCTAATGCGAACTTTAATTCGTCTTAGTAGGAATATAGTTGTTGAAAAATTCTGATTTGTGCATTCTGGAAGCTTGCTCTGCTGGAGGTTTGTAACCTGCACTTTCTGGGTGGGTGGGGTACTTTTACTTTTCAAGGAGCCTACGTGTGGCTTGAGAGGATCTAGGGCTGGGCTGGCCTTAGATTAGGGTAGCACAGAGGCAGCTCTCTGCTCTGGTGTTCCCAGTAGCAAGTTGGAAACCTTTTTTTTTGGGGGGGGGGGATAGGGGACTGATGAGGGCATTTCCAGGTGCACTATTCTTGGCCTCTGTGCCACCAGGGACCCATAGAATCAGGCACCCTGGGGAGTGAGGATGGCAGTGATTGGGAAACGCTAAGGGAATCCTGGTCCCCTCTGGAGCCAGAATTCATGGATATTTGGCTGGATAGCCTCTTGCCAAAGTCTGCTTCTTCGCCACAAGGGCGCTCCGGGAGACAGCTCAGTGACCCAAGAGGATGCTTTAGGCCGAAGTAGGGAGAGCGGAGGAAGATGCCAAGGGGTGGAAATTTTGTTAAAATCCTCCTTTTTTTTTAATTCCTTTTTTTTTTTTTTCAGTTCTCAAGGAGTGGGAGAGGAAAGGGCAGAGGAGGGGAGGGAAGGTCTTTATTTGATTGTCCACAGTGAAATCGGGGAACCCTGGGCTCCTGCAGAGCAAGCCTCGGTGAGGAAGGATTTTGTGGGGCCCACCCAGCCACAGCAGCCCAGTGCCATTCCTGACCCCAGTGATACCAGAACACCTTTCCCTCACCAAGCAGAACTCCACGCGCACCTCATCTCCTCCCTGCCTTCTCCTTGCTAGCCCAAAGGGGTCCAAGCTGGCTTAACCCCAGGAAGCCCACCCGCATCTCCACCCAGCCCAAACATCAGACCCCAGCCATCCAAAGGCATGCCCTGAATCGGTGGGGGTTGTGGGGTTGGGGGAATCCAGCCCAGGGGAACTACCTAAGTGCCTGAAACTGGGACCTGAACCCCAGAAACAGCATCCTGGGGCCACCTGGATCCTCACACAAACTTGCCTGGGCAAATCGGCGGCTTCACCGAGACCAGGGGAGCAGCCCTCACCTACAGCGGCGCATCCGAACCCCAGAAAAAGAGGGGGGAAGCCGGAGAAGTTCAGGATGCGGCCTGGGAGAGGGCCCGCGGTCCTCTTTTCCCAGCCCGCGGGGATCCCTGGCGATCAGTCCCAAACTTCTCCACAGCCCCTTGGCGCGCTCAGGTCGCGGCCGGCGAGCACAACCCCCGCCGCCCGCCGCTCTCCGGCCCCGGCCCGCACCTGGGCCGCCTGCTCAGAACTCGGGACCCGAAGCCTTGGGCCTCGCCCCCTCCCTGTTTTAATTACGTGATTGATTTTCGCTTGGGCAGCCTCAGGACGCCTCTGCCTCCGACTGGATCTTTCGTCTCCCTTTTTGTGTTTCTGAGTCCTCCCGACCGGCTGTCACGGAGGAGACCCTCGGGGCTGTCGGCGCGCCTCGTGCGGCCTGGGTCGGGGTCCCGGGCGGCGGCCTTGCCCCACACGCGCCCGCCGTGGTCCTCGCCGCCACGCGGGGCTCCGCTACTGCGCTCCTGCCCATTCGCCTTCCTCAATGATTTGGTGCTGCATCGTCTTCCCGGTTTGGTTTGTCCCCTGAAGCCTGGCCTCAGAGCTGGCCTCTGCGCGTTTGTCTTCCCCGGGGTGGGGGGAGGTGTGCAGGGGACACCGAGACTCGAGGATGCCGCCCGCCTGGCTGCAGGCTCGCGCCGAGGGGAGCCCCGGGCCCCTTCCCGCAGACACCTGGGCCCCGCGCAGGCGGGCGACCAGCGCCGGGAGGAGCCAAATCCGCCGTAACTTCAGGCCGCCCGGCGGCTCGTCCCCGGCCGCCGGCCGCAGCCCGCGGAGGGCAATTGGATCTGATGTTCGCTCCGCAGCCCCAGACAGAGGCCCCCTTGCCCTGGCGGCCTCTGCGGGCACCGGGTGGCAGCCTCCCGGGGTGGCTGTGGGCACCCACGCCCAGGAACTCCTGTGCAGCCTCTCCAGCGCAGGGAGCCAAGGTGAGGCGGCGGCAGGGGGAGAGGGGAAGAGTCTCATTTGGGACAGGACGGGATTTAGGGTGAGGAGAGGAAGGGGGCAAAAGAGTCCCCTTTCCCGCTGTGGCTGGCCCCCTGCCCTTTCTCTCCTCCCCAAACCCTTGCTTTCCGGCCTAATCTCTCTCTTAGATACAACTAATAAACACGTCTCTGCGCACTTCTCCACCGCGTCCTGTTCATTCTTTGAGTCTTTCTAACAAGGCAGCAATGACTTGCTATGAGCGAGATTTTGCGATTATCTTTTTCTCCTCTGGGAGAGGAGGGGGTGGGAGGGTGCTGCTCACTGGGGAAGTTCAGCGGAACTTGAGCTGGCCACAAGCTACTCCCTGTCCCCTGACCCGCAACACCCCAATGCCTGTCCCCCCCAAACCCCCTTCCCCCACAGCGGTGTTGCCGGGTAAATAAGAGTCCGCCTGCCTGGCTATTAGGATTCTGAAGACGTTGGCATCTGTAGCAATCATTAGTCAAAGCCGTGGAAGCCAAAGGAGCCGAGGAGTTGGACAGAAAAAATCTTGGAAAATGATATACAGGAGCCGCCGAGGCATCAATCCCGGCCGATAAGAGCGCGGCTGCTGAGAGCCAGGCGGCCGGCTTAATTGGGCCCTGGGCACCAAGAACACTGAGGAGGGGGCACCTCTGGGCGGTGCAGAGGCCCTGGCATCATTTGGGCACCTTACAAAGATAGTAGGGGACTAGAACGTCCTTTTCTCCAAATTTTAAAAACCCTGTGGGAACCAAGAGGTGCTGGACTGGAAGACTCTCCCTGTCTCCTTTCTCCCCTACTCTTAAGTGGCTGCCTTGGAAGGTCGTGCAGGTCGGGAAGCCTGGGCTGGGACCCCAGCAACAGAGACAGCCCTGAGGGAGGGCTGATCCCCACAGGGGACAGCGAACTCAGTAGAGTAGAGATCCTGTCTGAATCACTCGCTTTCAAAATCAAAAGGTATTTGCTCCCCAACCCCGCTCACCTGATACCTTTTATAGGAGCACAGAGACACAGGATACAGTAGGGGTAAGCCCTTTGGAAAGGGAATCTATGCCCCTTCACACGGATGTAAGCATTACAAAACTGTCTCCTAAAGAAATGTCCCAATGTTTAAGTTTGCAGCAAAACTGAGAAGACCGTAAAGATCTCCAATTTTGTGGCTTCAATTTGTAGCGATTTTATGGCTTAGGGCCCACGGATAAATTCTGCTAAAAATCTCAAAATAGAAACTGAGCAACTCGCACATGGTTCTTTCCAACCGAGAAAGAAACTAAGCCAAATACTCATTTAGACGTTTAGTGAGAGCTGTGCCAACACACCGCGGCATGCGCCTCCCAGCACTAGGCAAAGGTTGGTTATGTGCACCCAGGAATTCAGCCGAGGACTGCTACATTCACTGTGGATCTATAAATCTAAAGATCTATAAATCTGCATCTAAATGTGGAGCCGAGAGGGGGTGGGAAACATATTTCCTGATTTAGACAGAGAACGATCTATAAATACATTTTCACACATGCAACTATAGGAGTGCTAAGACACGTGTGTTTGCTTGGAGTCCCTAGGAATGAAGAGGACTCTCTAGCGCTTGTGCATTTGGGGTGTCCCAGCCCAGACTCTGCTGAAAAATGAATGAAAGCAAACTAACAATCTATGGCCTCGTTTCCCTCCCGAGAGGTGCACTGCACGGGCGGTGGATTTGCGCCCCAGCGCCCTGGGCCCGAAACTGAAGGAAGTAGCCCAAACTCAGCAGTAGGTAGCCGGCTCCTCACTTTTCTAATCTCCCTAGCCCTAGGCTAGGGAGAACTTGTAGGGGGTTGGGGTGTCTTTTGGAAGGCTCATTATCATTACAAAATGGAGCCATTGAAGGAAAATAGGATTTCATTTGGAGACAGCTTGGTAAAGAGAGCTGGGAGAAGTCTGCGGGCTTCCACACACCCCTTGCCCCCCATCTCGATGGCACACTACCCAGCCAAGGACCCGTGACGTTTCCTCCATTTTCGCCCTGGCTGCCGGGAGTTCTCTCTCTCCCTTGCATCCCTGAACTCCCAGCTTGTCAAGAAGGGGCTTGGGGAAGGGGTCACCGCCAGACTGCAGCCCCAGAACAGAGAAGAGCTTGCTGGAGTCCCTGTATCCACATCCGCAGGCGGGCTCACAAACTGCCTGCCTTCGCTGTTCGCAGCTTGGTGACTGCGGGCTTGGGGCACTAGGGTTTGCATGGGCAAAGGAAAGAATCATTTTAAAATCTGGAATCTTGAGGGGAGAAAATGCAATGACCAAGTAGCCCCCCCCACACACACACACCTTTTAAATCGGAGGCCAAGGGCTTTAGGGACTCTGTATGTCCTTTTATTTTTCTCCTTTGGTTTACGCGGGGGCAGACAGGAGGAACCTCAGGTGGGCTTGGGGCAGTGCAATCCAATCTATCTGGCCGTGCTGGGAGGGAGTGATTTACAAAGCAAAACCTCAGATGCTACTTCCTGAGAAGACCAGAAGGCACCAGATCAAAACAGCCTCCTGTAGGCGTTTATGACCCTGTCTCTACTCCTAACAGGAAAAGCACCCTCAATAAAAGCTGGGCCCACGCCCCCAGCCTCCGCTCCAGGGAGGGGGAGACACCATCTCAAATGAGGGACCTGACCCTTACTCCTTTCACACACACACACACACACACACACACCCTATTTACCAGACAAAACTGTCCTCCAATATCTGAGCAAAACAACAGCCCAAAGAGCAGTTTGGAGTTTGAGTCTGGGACAGCAGGAAAGGCAGATGTCATCAGATAAGGCCCTGGCCTATACCAGTGCCACCTTGGTCCTCCACAACCCAATCTGGGCCAACCGGACATTGAAAGTCACCAAGAGCCTGGCTGTCACCATCCATGGGAGGGGGCTGCTCCAAGATTGGGGTCTTGTCGGGGGAGGGAATAGAAGGAAGGAAAGCCAACAGTTGCCCAAGACTTGAGTGGTGGGGGTGGGGTGGGGAAGACAAATGGCTTCCAGGCTGGGCTGATGGGAAGAATGGGGTGGGAGGGAAGGAGAGGGAAGTGGGTTTGAGATTGGCTGACTGTGTCCAGCCCAGGCTTCTGACCTCTGTCATGCCACACTTGGGCACATATGTATATCCTGCGTGTTTAGGTTTTTGGATATTGAGGGCCAGGGACTGGGAGAACCAAAGATCTGCTTTACCTCTCTGAGAGGTACTGTGATGTGGTTCCAAAATGGATTCCAGGTAACTGAGCCCACACTTCCCACCCAGCCCCCGTGGGCTTACAGACCACAGAACTTGCTCTGAACACGTGTAAAGAAGTAGCCACCACCTTGCACTGGCTCCGCCAGCCCACAGCCTCTTTACCAGAACTTCTAGGACAGGAACACCAGATACTGAACAAGACCCTGGATAGCCCGGTCCACCTTTCCCAAGTTCCGCATTGCACAGGCACATGGACACAACACCCCCCCCCCCATTACCATCTGCCCCGCAGTGGGAGAGGAGCATGAGCTCTTCTGCAAGGCTCAGGACAGGACAGGGGGCTCGACCAACCCAATTCCCTAAGGCAGGTCTTCCGGCTCCTGGAGTCCCATCAAAGCAGGCGAAAGAGATGCAACCAGACCAGACCCCACAGCAGGTTAGGAGGGCCCAGTAGAGGTGGGGCAGAGTGGGAAAGGATGTGGCTTTCCTGGCCTTCTACCAGACTTCTCTGCTCTCCATGGAATCCCCCCTTCCCCAACCCCAGAAAACCTGAGTTTGGCTCCCTGACTTCAAAGTTCCTCTCCTGGGGGGAGGTGGGGCTACAGGGGCTCTCACCCCTCCCCCTCCCCACAGTGGAGGCTCCAGGAGTCCTGACACAGAATGGAAGTCCAGGATGGTGATGTGTCAGCAATCTGCCCTCAAAGACCTAACTCAGCCAGTTCCAGAGAGGAGTGGTGACAAAGCTGA